ACATATAGATGGATGGATGGATGGATGGATGGATGGATGGATGGATGGATGGATGGATGGACGGATGGATATATATAAAGACAGACAGACAGACAGACAGACAGACAGAAATGTTTTTAAAAAGGCAAAAGTTCACTAACATATCTTTTCCCCCAGGTATTTGTAATGGAGGTGAAACACCCTGGAAACATCTGTCTCCATACAAACAGTAGAAACAATTACAAAATAATTGTCCATTGATCTGTCTGTACAGATTCTAAGTAAAGTTGCATAAATGGATAGAATGAAACTGGTTCTGCGTGAGAGAAGTGAGAATAACCAACTGTCCGTAAAGTTACATCTCTTATTTCCTCAACAATATTTCACACATTTCATATTGAATATGAAAGCTAAAAGGCAAAGAACGCAATTAATGACTGACCATGTTAAAGATGATTTGCTGACCCCTATTTCCAGTGATGATTAAGGTCATCCATCAAACATTTTTATTTTCTGGCAAGATAATGCACAAACAGGGCATCTATATAATGGGCTAAAGAACTGCAGCTAAATCATACCTTTGGACAGAGTGTACCAGCATAACACATGTGTAATGTTCCACAGTGCCATGTTCAAGTTAAAAAGTCATTACAGATAGATGAACAGCTCCAAATATATTGAACTTTGAAGGCCTCCCTGACCCAGAACCCTCTAAGATCATAGACTACAGATTTCATCTTTTTACCCAGTAAGCATGGCTCATGGCCATGTTGATCAGTGATGTAGGGCTGTAGTCCCTGCATCTTTAAGATAACAGGTTGTGGGAGATCGCAAATCACAAATCCTACAAGCTGTTTGTGAAAAATAAAATGTCTTCCTCTCATTTAATTTAATGTATGACATTGCTTTATCTCAAGATCCCCAGCATTGCAATAGTCAGCATTCCACCTAAACTTTGCGACATGTACCTTCTTGGTATGTAGTTAATGTGGGCCAATTATATTAATCTTGGCCAGTACTCTACAAGAGGATAGATAGGGGAGTAATCGTAATGATTCAAATTAGTAATTGTGCAGATTGACAAAGGCATATAAGAACTGCTGAAAGTTTAATAAGTAATTCCCCAGTGTTAAATAGTAGAGGCTCACATTTCAGAGAGATCAACATCTTTCTCTCTCTTACAAAGTAAGTACAAGAATGCCACACTCCAACCCACGTGCATTTCTCCAAAATCATCTTTTTCCTTTGAAATAACTTTTGAAAGCAAATACTCTTTGTCAGACTGAATGAGCCTTGGTAGAAAAATATGCAGATTTTTTTCCCCCTGTTTTACTATGAATGGTATTGGACTATAAGCCTCAGTAGCTCTAACTAAGATAATGAGAGATGCTTGGCGATGTAGTACAACAATATTGGGAAGGCTACATGTTCTTCATTCCTGTTTAAGCCATCTTTACACATCTACATGGCAGAGGAAGCAACTGAGGAAGACAGGGAGAAGGAAAGAAAGGCATACCTAAGACGAGCAAGTTCATTGGTAAGATACTAACACCTTTATCTGGAGGTTGAGTCACAGCAACTGGACTTTTCTTTTGGTTTGATATGCTTGATATGTTTGATATGTCCAAACAGCGAAACATATCAAACCAAAAGAAAAGAAA